AAAGAGTGTGTCTGAAAATTAGGGATGCAGATAAACATACCAACATTTTACACTCTTAATTCAAAACAACCTAGAAACAAGTCACCTATCTTTCCATATATCCTAGTAAACAAATGCCTCCCGAGGATTTAATTTCTTTTATTTCCAGTCATTACTGACTATAATCATTACAATAAGATTTAAATCACTTGCCTTATTTAAACTGCTTCACTCCTACTGCTAATTCAATTTTTCTTCAGTATTCCATGGAAAGAAAAGGTTCTTTTCAAAAAAGTATTCTCCTGTAAGTAATGTCCTCAGCACATACATAGCATGTTTGCCCAAGAACATTAAAGAATGTATTCTACGTTCTGACTGTGAACGAGCTTTTCTAGAAATGCAAATTTTGCTGTCAATACTTACACAATGGACTACAGTGCATAAGCACTGTTCATGCTCTATTAGTCATTCTTTGGGAAATTTTATTTAAAAAAATAATAAAAGGCCTGCAGTGTGTATAAAGCACTTAGGATACAAAAGACGTATTGTCAGAATATTTGCAGGATCTCCAAAATAGAAAAACAACTCCCCCAAACAAATTAATTACAGCTTATAGTAATTATTTTTTTAAATGCTACACCAGAAACCTGAATTTCTTAACTTAACCAATCTATAGTATAAAAGAGATGACATAAGTGATCTTACCATCATGGCATCTGATTGACAGATGAGAGCCTACATTTTGTATTCTTCTGAGAAACAAAGGGGATCTGAGCTCTGAGACAGCTGGTGCAGTGCATGTTGGCACTTAGTCTGGAAAATCCCCAGGTTCTGAGGTACACATGACCTTGGATGCAGTTTAATTTGTATTATTTTATTTTCAGGTCTATCAACTACATTTCCCTAACTAAAAGTTAGGGCATATTACTTGGTAATGCAACAGAAAGTGTGAAAAACCAGGCTGTATAGAAATGGTTAACATACATGTTTTTCTTCTGCAGAGTATTATTTCTTCAAAGATCTTATCTGGAAATATAAATAAATAGGTAAAACCCAAAGTATTCTAGCCAAAATGAGTGTGTCCATGGGGAATGGGATGAGAATTGGACAGGAGGAGGGACTTTCAGTCCCAGCACCAATCCCAACACCCTCAGCAACTCCTTAAAAGAGTTTCTCAGAACCCCTTCAAAAATCCTGATTCAAACTCTGATGTGAGCTGAAATTAAAACTCACATGGATTCATAAGTAGCCTAGAGAGGAAAAGTTAGCAATTTAGCTGGGAAAAATGGGGCACTAAACTGAAAGTTGAAAGAATAGAGCTCAAAGCACACTACACTGAAATTGCATTTCCTTTTAGAAATGAACACTTCCATCCAAATTGAAGTATAAGGGCAGAAACACTAAAAAGAGGAGAGCTGACCTATTCTGTAAATGCTTGCTCAACAAACACTTTTAACTGGACAAACAATAGAAAACACACGGGGAATTCATGCTTTGATAAATGACCTTGCATGTAATTTTCTCATTCCATCATGCAAATCTGAATTCATTATTAAAACCATGAAGTCACATATCCATTCTTTAGGCTATCTAGACAGACATTTTGTTTTCCCAAGACAGAGAAAAACAAATTATTACTATTAATTGGTCACGACCCCATCAGCATAATGAGATATTACTTTTCTGCACAAACTTCAGTCATATAAGTGAAGTTGACACAGGTGTTTTATTTTGTTTTGTCCTGCACTCACTAAAACATTTTGTAGGAAAATAAGAGCATTCAACGTCTCTTCCTCTTCCTAGCCTGGAATGGTTAAATTAAAAATCTAATGTATTGGCATCATTCTGTGATTTATCCCTTCTTAATTTTGAATACTATTCTCTCTTTACCAGATTAAGCTGGTTGTTTTTTCTTGCTTGTTTTTGCCTTTTCCTCTATCTGTATAAAAAGGATGAGGAAAACATCTCTCTTTTAAAGTACTTTTAGAATAATAATACTTAACGTTAGTATAGCCCTTTACAAATGTCAAAGAGCTCTCATACACATTTATCTTCCATACATATTACCAACTCTGGGGCTAGATTGCCTGGTACTAAATTCTGGTTCTACCACCCTGTTGTGACCTCAAGGAAGTTACTTAACCTCTCTGTACCTCAGATTCCTCATCTATAAAGTGGGGATAATGATAATTCTTATACCTCACAGGACTGTTATGAAAATTAAATGAATATATGTAAAATACTTAAAACAGTGCCTACTACATGGTACACACTACACAGGCATTAACTATTCTTTTAAATTATTGTCATCAGCATAAGTCATCATATTTAGGTCTCACAACGATTCTGTAAAAATAGGACAGCAAGTATCATTTTACCCTTTTTCCAGATAAGGGAATCAGGCTCAGAGAAAACAAGGGACTCATCCAGGCTCATAGTTAAGAAGTAGAATCTGAACTAAAAAACACTGGCCTAAGAAAGTATCAAGGAATACAATGAAGGAATTATACTGTGTGATAAGACTCCTTTTTAGAACCACCATATTTACAATTTTAAGTCTGTGGTTACAAAAAGAGCAAAAAAAAATATTTCATGGGAAGAAAATTTTAAATTACAAAAATAGAGCTTATTAGAAATGAATATGTGATCTTAAAATGTCTTTTTAAAAATCTTACAGTTAAAACATGCCCCAAAATTTCCGGAAAATTGAATAATAGCATTTTATAGTTAAACTCAGTCGTTAATTTGAGAATTACAGAATATTTCAAAGAAAACTGGATAACGACATTTACTAGTGTAAGGTTACAATTCAGTAACTATCAATATACCATACACAATACAATATAAAACACATACAACACTAAAATTAATTCAAATACATATAGTTCAGAAAATAGAATAATTTAGTCCCTCAGAGATATTGTATCAACTACAACAATGGAGTATCATAAATATAAATGACTTCAATTGTTTATGGTCTCTGGTATGGTATACAAAGTATCAGCTTCTGTACAAAGCAAATAAAACCACTCCTAATAATAGCTTATAGAATACAAAGGAAAAAAAACAAAGTTTTAACAGTAACCTGTTCATACTATTTATCAAGCACCTACTATTTGCAAAGCACTATGCTAGCTACCCATCATTCAAAAAGGAAATCAGATCCTTCCTTTTCAGGAGCATAAAATTTAAAGACCACGGCTTCCCTGGTGGCGCAGTGGTTGGGAGTCCGCCTGCCGATGCAGGGGATACGGGTTCGTGCCCCGGTCTGGGAGTATCCCACATGCTGCGGAGTGGCTGGGCCAGTGAGCCATGGCCGCTGGGCCTGCGCATCCGGAGCCTGCGCGTCCGGAGCCTGTGCTCCGCAGCGGGAGAGGCCACAACAGTGAGAGGACCGTGTACCACAAAAAAAAAAATAAAATAAAATTTAAAGACCAAGTAGGGATAGTGCCATGGGGGGAATAAAAGGTTTTTTTCCTCTTCCTGGACTACCAGGGGTTCCCCCCAACCCCAGTGATTTCAAAATCAGAACCAGTCATATATCTGACTAAAGATGAAGAAAAACAGTTGATGTTCTTCAGTTATTTTTTTAGTTACTTTTTTCAGGAACAGTGATGAACTGCCTATGATTTTATAGATATACGCTGTCTGGCCTAATAAAACCCACAACGTGACTTGAAGTCTAGGAGTCAGCAGATGACTTCTGACACTAAATATCTCCATGACTTTGGAGAAAACACCACCAACCATTTCTGGCCTTCTAACTCTTATGGTGCCTTTGGGTAAAGTTATTAAACTTCTCTAGGTCTGTTCCCTCAACTGCAAACTTATAGAGCTGTACTAGAATCCAAAAAGTAACTGGATCGGTGGGGTTCTCACTTTAAGTAAAGACTCCTGGGCCCACTCCCAGTGATTCAGAATGTCTGGCCTGGAACCCAGGAAGCTAAGTGTTCACCAAGCACCACAAGTGACTGAAATGTGCAGGCGGGCCTCAGCCACACTTGAGAAATTAACTACATGATCTCTAATGTACCAACTGTATACAAAGATGACATAACAAGATGACATAACTTATTTCAGAAACAAAGTCTTAGGAATTCTGGATCTAGCTCAATGTTCAGGACATAATCTATGTTAAACAAATACAGAGAGTAAGAAAGGAAGGAAGGGAGCTGGTAAAGACAGAAGGGAAGGCAGGGAGGAGGCTAGCTAGCTTACTGGTCATAGTTCTGCCAAGAAAACATACAGAATGACAGTAAAATTAAAACTGTGCAAAACATACATCAGCAGCTAGAAAGCGAAGACCTCAGTCTCTACACACGTACAATTTTAAATACAACATAACCCCTTGTCAAAGTGCAAAGTACTAAGGAGAAAAAAGCAAAAAACAGTACATGGAAGCCAAAAGAATCATAACGGAAAATTACTGATGACTAAAACTTAGTGACTGTTTTCCCTAGGTAGAAGAGAACAGAATTTTAAGAACTAGGACTTGGAATTGGGACTAAAGTTTGAAGTTACTGGTTAGTCATATGCATAAATTGCATTTGGGGTAATATATGAATTGCAGAAATACTGTTGGCAATATTCCCTTCTGTCCATTTTTTATTTCCATTTTCCCATTCACTTACATTATAATTTTTGAGATGTTTTATCTTCACTTCTGATGATCTTCAAATGTCAATGGCTCTTAACACATTAACTGTAAACAAACACAAAGGAACTTAGGGGAATTCAGATATTTAAGAAACCCTACAGTAAAGTATTCTAAAGTATTCTGTGAAGCCTACAGGGGAGGGAGGGGAGGGAAGAGGCATCATGTTTACTTGCTTTTTTATTTATCTGATGTTCAAAATGTAAAACTATTCTTCTGAATGAAAATGATACTATCCTCTTAATCATCAGGCAAAGAAAAAAAAAATCCTACTTTCTGTCAGAAGAAAAAACATTCAAAGCTAGAGAAAATTCTCTCCAAAGATGGACATTCTGAATTCACTAATGTATTGTATACCTTATCCTTCTCCTGCTCAGCAGTACAGCTGGTCAAGGAAACTCATTTCCTCATCAAGACAACCCAACTGACCTGCCCTGGGACTGCCCTTAACTACCAAGTTTTGCCCTGGAGTTCGGGCACCAGATCGTCAGGTGTGATGAGCTCATTACAGCACAGAAACTCTGAAGTTAAAAATGACTTGGGTTCAAATGTCAAACTGCTCTCCCTAATCTTGTTTTCTCATCTGTAAAATGGAAACAGTAATACTGTTTACTTTATACAGTTACGAGGATTATATGAGAAAATGCATATAAGGGATTTACCACTATGCCTAGCATATAGTAAGCACTCAATAAATGTTAAGTGCTATTATTTATATTATTATTATTGGGACTGTTGATATTAATACTATTAATTGTTTACTACAACAACTTTCTATCACTTGAAAAGCAAAGCTTATCTCAGATGTTCATATTTTTAGGTACTGCCTTTGGTTAAAATGGAAGAGTATTATCCAATACTAGTAACAGAGGACATTCGTATCATATTAAAATTTTATTTTTGACCTTTGCTGCATTTCCTGGCTCAACTCAAGAAAATTAAGGCTCATAATCACTAGCCCATCATCAGCCAAAGTTATTACACCTTTTGCTAATATACACCCTCCTAACAAAGTCCTAGTTGAACAACTATTCACTTGCTGTTTTCAGTAACGGCAATTCTGTTAAGGAGATGGATATATTTGTAACCCATGCCTATTAAACCCTATGAGCACAATGAATAATGCTGTATCAACCCAGAAGAGACTCTTCTACCCTCCTCTACTTATCCCCAAATGATTAAACTCCTCTGTTTGACATTACATGCTTAAAATATTAATATTTAAGTTAGATGGCACAAAAATGCATAAAACACTGAGTTCTCTGAATTTTCAATCAAACCTTTAGGTTGAAGATGTAAAAATAAACACAAGATACCGGCAAAAGCATTCATAAATTAACATAACCCAAAATGGCCTGCTTTATTTCTCTTATAAAGACCAAAGATTTTGAACTGAAATGAGAGAAAATACCTAAGTACGACCTGATGCAATATTCCAGGGGGAGATAAAACACATGGATACATGGCTTGGAAATGAACGCCAAACTGCAGAGGAGTAATCAGTGTAGGCCATCATCCTCATACCACCACTATTTTCAGGCAACTCCTTGAGCTCTTCAAATGAAATAACAGCTGATCATTTCTCATCTGATTTCTATTTGCCTTTCACTTAATCACCTGGCAATTAATAAGTCTATCCCCTTTATGGTCCTAGATTAAGATTATAAAAATCTGGCCCAAGATAATATAAACAAAAAAAAGTAAAAAGCTTAAAAACTCAAAGAGTTTAGAGCACTCCAAGATACAGTTCTCTCTTTCGGTCTGCTATGATATATCATCTCTTTCCAAGCATGTTCTATTATGGTCATTGCAGGCAAATCTAAGAACGCCTTTGGCATAAATTAAGCGTTGTACACTCGAACTGAAAAATATTTTCCTTGCTTTAAGATGATTTATTTGTATACGTGGAAGAAGCTGCTGACTATCTCCAATACCCATTCTCTCCTATTCCTTAGAGATAGACCTCCAATGTCCAGCTCAGAATAAAGCCTCCCAGAAGAGACTACGTATCCTAGCCTCCACTGTGGCTAGGTATGGCCATGGGACCATGATCTGGCCAACTGGATGTAAGTTTAAAGGCGGTATGTGACTTAAAAAAAAGTATCCTTTACATAGAGGAACATGCCTTTCTTCTTCCCTTCCTCCTTCCTTTCGACTAATGAAGATCCAATGGGTAAAGCCTTGCAATAGCAATTTCAGTTTTTGAGCTAACACTGGAATGTAACATACACTAAGTCAGAAAGAGTCTGTGTCCTTGATACTTTATATCAGACCTGTATTAACTATCTCCAGGCTTTTACCGAGGGGGGGAAAAACCACAAAATTATCTGTTTTAAGCCACTGTTAGTTTGATTTTCTGTTATACTCTAAACCTAAATCCTAACTTTAAAAAAATAATAAAGAGTTTTCCAAGTAAGTGTATTTAGGGTTTTTGAAGTGTATAGGTTGAAACATTTTATAAGTTAATTTTTATTATATTGAAAACATAGCATTTGCCCTTATTTAATCTAGACTAAGAAGTACTTAAAGAGGTCAAGAGTTAATCACATCCAGTAAAGAGTATTTGAAAGAAGGAAAGTTCATCAGCAATTACTGATGGGTACTATGTACTTGGCCAGAAGAATTATGAAGCTTGCTCATTAGTGGTCTATAGTGATGACAACATTGGTACATATAGAGAAACACATTAAGAGGGATAAGCACAATCAGTTCTGTTTAATAAAGCTACAGGAAAGGGAATTGAGGTTATTATTTTCATTAAGAGGGCATCTTCTCTAGTCCCTTTAATTTTAAGAACCTTGTATCAATCTTTTCATTTTATATAGTTCCGCTTTTAACCTGACTTCCTGTGGAATGCAGCCTTATAAAATCACTCCCTATCCATATCACCTCTCAAGTTTTAATACTATCCACTGATTTAACTAAATTATAGAGTAGGCCAAGAAATGGCAAGTGCTTTACCTATTCAAAACTAACTTCCTTTAAAAAGAGAAAATATTCTATACTAATCTAGAGAATGGTCAAGTCCTGAATCACATGCAACCTTTGTCCCTGATGAATTTGAATACAATAGCATTAACTGGCAGCTTTCCAAAATAAACTCACTGCTTACTGAACATCTGTATCTGGGTTATTTCCTTCCCTTGGGCATAATCCTTTATTGGTTCAGGTGATGGCCTCCTGGAATTCTTTATAATACTTTTTTAATATGTATGCTACCACTAATGCATCTCACCAAGGATCTATTTTTAAGAAAAGCCTAAAACATATATTCTTGATTTGGTGTTCTTTCTTGTGGCTACGAAAGAAAAAAGCTCAGGAAATTTCCAAAAAGCGAGATACAATAAATCCACAAGAGATGACTTTTACCTCTCACTACTTCAGTCAGTATTTTTACGAAAATGCTCTAAGTAACAGGCTTATAGTAGTTCTAACACAGACCTTAACCTAGTCCATTTCAACTAATATTGATGGAGTTACTAGGCAACAATCAGGAAAAGACCCAAGACAATGCTTCTCAAACTTCAGCGTGCATCAGGATCACCTGGAGGTCTTGCTAAAATACAAACTGCGGTCTCCACCCCCAAAGTTTTTGATTCAGTTAGACCTGAGGTAGGCCCAGGAAATCTGTATTTTAACAAATTCCCAAGGGATGCTGATGCTACTGTCCTGGAACTACTGACCTATATTAATAGAAAACTATTGATGATAGCACAAGGAAGAAAGAATAAAACATACACAGGACCCAGTCTCAGCTTTAGTATTAACTTGTATACTTTTGACTGGTAAGTAATTTAAATGTTCTTCCAGAAAGATATATACAATTACTGATTAGTTCACAAGAATATTGGATCTTATCTAACAGAACTTTAAGGTTCTTTTAGGGTCCTGTTATAATGAAACCCAAAATAAGTAATTTTTAGGCTACCAAAATGTTCAATGTCTGATGCAAGGTGTTAATAACAAGGCCAAGGTTGGAGATTCAACCTATTAGCTTCACTTTGTTCTGTAGCTATAGTTTCTACCACCAATCAGGCCAGCTGCCTCAGAAGACATGCCAAGAGTCAAAAGGAGTATTGGTAAGAATGTGTGATTGGATACAAATCCATCACCACTACTGAAAAAACAACCTAAAACGATATTTCCTACTTACATCACCTCTAAGTAACCTTGGGGCTGAAACTAGAAATGAGACCTTATGACAAAATGTATTTCAGAAATCTTAAAAACTCTCCTACCTCTTCAGGCTGTAAGTACCATCAAAACTCACAGAAACAGAAATCCAGGATCTACTGTTTTCGAATGATAATTTTAAGGAAGACATGCAATTCAAAAATCTAATTAGTTGGAGCTACTCTTTTGATTACATTATGTGCACCTCCCTCTGATTTTTTTTTAATCTAAGTTAAACGTAAATACAGAATGCTCATAAATACTAATGAATATACAGGCTAGAAATCAACTGATAACCCAAAGTCATCTGAGACAAACAAGTGGTACCCAGAGTAATTAGAAAATGAGGATATATATATAGGATGAAAGAAATATACATTAAATAAAATGACTGAAAAAATAAATTAGAGAGAAAGAGACCAAAGTAATCAAGACAGATGGAAAATCCAGTAGGCTAAGGAAACAATGTTGTGAAGACATACAGGAGTGGGCACAGAAAAGATAATGCTGCCAATAAAATAGCTCAGGGTGTCAAGAGGCTTCATGCAAGGGTAACTTCCCAGCTTGAACCTGAAGTTGTGACTTCACAGGCCAAATCCACATAAGAAAACCCTTTTTAATTCTTTGAATAGAAACAGCAAATAAGACAAGTGGGGTGAACATTCAGTCAACATTTCTTTATTCAATCATTCACTGGGCACATATTCAGCACTAGATATATTAGCATGTGATTATGCACTGTAAAAAGTAATCAAAGAAACTCACTTAAGCAGTACATTTTATAACAGTGTACAAAATGGAAAACCAGACTAAGAAGGCAGAATAGTATTTGATACCAATATAGTATCAAATTCTGCTGTATAACTTCTACAATTCTAAGGCTCAGGCCTACCCTGGCTACCATAGCCAGCCTACAGTATTGTTTTATCAATATCCTACACAAGAATCAGAGCAAAACCCACAAGAAGAAAATTATGGAATACAGCCAGATAAACAGTGTGCTGAAGTGAATTTTTTCACAACTCTCTCTCTCTGTGGGGCAGAACATGTGTGATGAATGGACAACAGCAGGATATACAAGAGCTGCTGAACAGCTCACTGAAGTAGACAATACCAAGCAGGACTCACCAAAAAAATTACTTTTTTTTAAGGATGCAAGGTGATGTAATTCCTAATCATATACAGCTGATTAGGAAACTGCTATGTGAATATCATATTAAGAATGAAACTGTTCTTCTGTGACCAAAGATATCAGGCCTATGATGACCTAGAAGGCAAAGCTAGAGCAACAGCAATTCCGAGCTGACTACAGATTTATAGATACATAGGCAGTAGATATATAGATATCAAGATTCAATATACGCTTAGTGTGAACTACAGATCCCACAAGAGCCAGTCACCCAATTTAAACGGAGTGTGTCATTTTCCAAAAAACAATGGGCAACCACATAGGTTACAGTACTATTTTTCAGATTTATATTCTTCCTACTTCCCAGAAGAGTGTAAAACATTTTACAAATTAACACATTTAAACATAATACTTAAACTGAATTCATCTAACAGAAGTACTTGAAGAAATTAAAGATGAGTATATTACCAACTTCAGTTATAAATCTGACTACAGTCTTTTGCCAAATCGAAGATGCATTCATAGTTTCCATTTTCAAACAAATAGGAAATATAATTTTTTGCATAAATTTTCCTTGGAACTAAACTCAGCAGAAATTTGTGAATCGAATGTGTAAAAGACAATCTGTAACACACTGAACAGTATTATTAACTATTATTCTACAGGAGATATCAAAACAATTTCACAAGGCAATTTCCTAATTGAAAATTTGAAAATGAAAATTTCCTAATTGTATAAAACAAAAGCATAACTACAATTTAAGGGTGAGATTTCTGCAGAAGGTTGAGATAATACAGTTCAAGCACCAATATTTTGCTTTATTACAGGCTAACAAAAGTAATAAACTTAATCTGGGTAGCCACTTAACATTGCTTTTATAACCACAGTTGTCCACCCCCGTCCCCCACGTACCAGAATCATCTGTGACTGTTACCCTAAATTAAGTTTAAAATTAGGCTTTCTAACAAGTGTCTACAATGCAGCTTTTCTATAATGTTGATTAAAGAGAATACCACAAACAAGTGTAATGATTCATGAAATAAAAGATATCAAAGAATTTAGCAGGGTGGACTGTATACAGTAGACAATCAAATGTTATTTTTCCACCTTTTAGAGAAGAGGAATAAAAGCTGGCATTTTTCTGTGAAAGTAGAGTCATACTTATATTTTTGTCTGGAGGGGATGAAGCTAACATACTCTAGTCAAAATTCAAGGAGTTCTTAATTTTCTCAAATTCATATGTAACATAATGTTTCATTAAGAAGTTAAAAATATATATATATATAAACTTTAAAGTTGCTGGACTTTTTTTTTGTTTTTTAGAAAATAATTGTGCTTAAGTGGCACAGGTAGGTACATTAGTTTGTAATACTAACAGACATTTATTTAGTGTAATTGCAAAAATTCATAACAAAGGTTATTATCATCAAGTATTACCATTATGATAAAGAATTTTAGAGCTCCAAAGGACCTTACAGGTTTTCTAGATCAACCCCCTTATTTCAAAAGATGAAAAAACTGCAGACTGGAAAGGTTAAATGATACAGGCCAAATCACTAACTGAGCCTAGGACTTTAAAAGAGCCTGAGCCACCTGACTTCCAGTACTTTCTTTCTAACAACACTATGCTGCCTCCTGTGGTTCCAAATCCTCTCCCTTGGATGAGATTACTAGTTGCCTCATTTTTGTTCTTTACATTCTATCCTAAGCCATAGTTGTCATTCGTAATTCTCCCATAAAATTGTAATTTTCCAACCTGTTTTCTGAATGATTTTACAGCTGAGTGTAAATCCCCAGCTTTCTAAATTTCCAAGTAATAAACATAAACTTAAAAAATACTTAAAACAAATGTACACTGTACATAATCAAACACAAAGAAAAATTCTTCTCTCCTGGATAACTCAATATACAAATTTAAAAAAAACAACATTTATTAAGCACCTCTGACAGGCAGGGTCTCTGTTTAATGCTGGTGATATGAAGATGAATACGATCCTTGTCCTCAAGTAGCTTACAGCCTAGTAGAGAAGACAATTAAACCAACAATTACACTGTGCTTGTTAAGGACTCTGAAAACAGCGTGGGCATGTTGCTATGAACGCATTTACGAGAATCTAATTTAGAACGGTGGGTCAGCTAATGATTTCCCAATGAGGTCCCGAACAGCCACAGGAAAAAAAATGGCAGTATCACCCATATCTAGCAGAATCCAAAATGAATTAGAAGAGACAGAGCAACTTCAATTTATTCACAGGAAAAAATGAAAATAGTGTTTTCACAACGGTTTAGTATCTAATAACTCTCTAATAACAACTAGAGTATTTTTCAATGGAAAAGAACCTGATTTCATTGTGGCCATATAACAAATACAGGTCTTCCAATTATTTCTTAATAAAATTTTAAATCATTATTTTAAAACCAAAGGAAAAAACTGAGTCTGAAACACGTGTACATTCACAACAGCTCTCTGCAAAGCTGCACAGTAAAGTCCTCCTCAAAATCCCATCTGGTACAAGAGAAATAACCTGGAGAACCCGTAGCCCAAGAAGGAAGAAAACTACCACTCATTAGTTACTCGGGAATAATGACTTTCAGCTGGAAGATTCAGACCAGAGAAGCACAGTGGTGGGTATTTTTACTTACATTTTAAAGCAAAGTGGGGGGGGG